ATTTATTGGCCTTTCTGGTAATATATCGGACATTTGGTTAAGTCTAAGCATGCAATACCCTTACCTTATTTATGCTATAGATTTTCAAACATGATTTATATACTACCAACAGCGCATAACCAAAAAATCGCTCGATTAAAAACAATAGAAACTGAAAAATATTTCAAGGACGAGACCTTAAGAAATTATAATTTGATTAATAACGTGGGAATATATATAAGTAATTGACAAAATGAATTAAATTGAATGAGACATCGATGTAATGAGTGAACCATTGAATGAAAAAGCCAAAAATGTAGTTCACATGCAGCTTAAAATAAAACTCGTATGCTCACCTTCCGTGTAATGATGACCCGCGGTGGAATAATTATTTCTATGAAATCAACAAGAAATTAAAATGTAAAAATACTTCTACACTCGCACACTAAAAACAAAGCGTCACTATAGCACTAGTAGTTTTAAGCACCTGAACATGCATATTGGACTGAAACAAGAAAATAAAATGTCGGCATTGAATTAAGTTCTATTTCTTTATTTCCTCATTAACTCGAAATATATAATTATAAGGCTAGGACGTAAATAAACAATCAGAAATCCATATCTTTATATGCTATGAAATAATAATTAAAAAATATCCAGAATTGCAGAAAAACTAACGAATATATGGAGTAACATTAAGTATGAGAAACATTTAATAGAAAAATACGAATAATATAAAAGCTATAGTTCTAGTTTTAGATGAACCACACTTGAGGGTAAACAACATAAAAACACGAACATGCACATGCATACCTAACGATTAACTAACCACATTAAAATAACGTGCAAAACTAAGCAATGACTGCTGACTGAGCACCACTGCAAGAAATCCCTCAGAACAAACATCAAGTGAACGCTAAATATGCGCGTTACAAAACACAGCCAAATGTCACGTCACAATATTTTTACTCTCACAAAAATACTAAACAGTTGTCTCTAATACCTCTGAGCTAGGCCATATGGGGCCTCCACTAGAAGTTATAACGTTTGCAGTGTCACAAGTTATTTCTGAATCATTTGAGCTGGAAGTTCGACGTTTCACAGATTCTTCGGATGAGCTGGCCTTTAAATTGATGGACTTGTCTCTATCACGCTCGTCATCTCTACCCAAACAAATTACATCAAAAATAAGCTCTCATTCAACTCGACATATGCTTACTTTATTTTTAAAGAGATGTATTTGTCGGGAACAAGACCTTCCTGGCCATTAACAGCTCCTCTCCACCAGTCGTTTGATACCTGAGAGTATAGAGTTACAGTGTCGCCTCTTTTCAGAGATAATTCCCTATTGGATCTGGCTATAAAATCAAACTGTGCCGTTGCTTCGATGTTTTCCGAATCTAAATATCAAAAACAATCCTGTTTTTTTTCTAGTTGTGAGTTACTAAGCCCTTACCATCTTCTGATGGGCATACTTCCGAATCTATGTCGTCTTGCGTCTGATCCGACGGAGAGTCGCCCACGTCCCTGTAAAAAGCATAAAACTTCAACAAAAAAAGATAAAAACGCAATTCAGGCAATTATTTAATAGTGGACTTCTCTAGCAGTGGAACTTGTAATTGTTTCTATTAAATGAAGTCTTGTAAATATAACATTAATTTACTGATTTTATTACATGGGATCTTTGTTCCAATTACTGCACTACAAAGGAAGGCAACATCAAAGTGGTAATAAAGCGGAACACTTTTACGGCATCCGATATAGATTGGCCTTAATAAAATCTCTAAGCACGCTTAAATAAAATGTTAACTTACTGGTCATCGGTATTAGGTGAAATGTATTTTTCATAAATGGGCCCGCCATCGCTAGGGAATATCTCGTCGTGAAATATAATAATGTTCTTAATCAATTCGTTAACTTGGTTTTGGTACTGTACTTGATCCTTATCATCGGGAACAGGTACTAATGTAGGACCAAAACATATCGCTAAGTTATATGGATCCATCATGTTCTCGTCGGCAAATTCAGACAGATGATTCAAGAAAGCGAACAGATATCTCAAGACAATCATCACTGGACGAGGCAAGCTTTTAACTACTTCTCGCATCTTGGTGATGAACTCCCGTTTGTTTTCCAGTTCTGTAATAAATTCATAGTAATACTCCAGCTAAGACACTTGTCTGGAAATGGCTTACGTGCCAACTCCATAATTTGCTCGAAATAAATAATCGGAAATAACGGTTCTCTTAATTCTCGTAGATATAACTTAAAAACGCCCGCCACACTGTTAATATCCGAAGCATCAGTCATATCCGCTAGGGGATCTTCACCTCTCTCAAACCATTCTCTGAAATTGTTAATTTCCACTTGTGATCCTGATACTCTAAATATCCCTTGATGGTGCAACCCTGCAAATAAATCGAAGCTGAATTACCTGCATTAGGGGGATAAAAAAAAACTTACCATAAAGATTAATAACCCGGATGCAAGAACGTAAAATTAATGGAATCTCTTGGTTAGTTGCTTCCTGATATTCTTCCAGTGAACCTCCAAAGAGCTTTGGCTGCCCACTGAGCTGCAGTCGACCTATTCGCTTTCGTTTTGGTGTTTTTACCACCGGCCGAATAGTTTGGCATAGCTCAGGAGCCTCAGCCACTAGAGATTGACGAAGATATTCTTGCTTTGCATCTAAGCGTGCTATCTTGGAGGATCCCACGAGATACTCACGAAACTTCTGACAATGATTTAGACTTTAGTACCTTCTTTTCCCACAAGTTTCAACTTACTGTTAAATAAAATTCTTCTGTTTCTTGCCTGTCTGCTCTGGCCTTGATCGAAACAGTTTCAGGTGGTTTGCTCAAAGGCTGAGCACTATCCCCAAAGTACCCACTGCAATCGTAATCTTTAGCACTTAACATTTCGAGCAAAGTAGTCTCAGCCGTTTCCAAAGTTTTCCAAACTTCTTCAGATTCGGCCCGTAACGATGTGACTCGTTTCTGCAATTGAGTCAGTCTGCTTTCCATTTCTCTGTGTAGCAGATTTTGAATTTCTGGTTCTGCAGCCTGCAATTAAATTAATTGTTCCTGGGTTTGTACGATATGCATAGACGTTGATTGTACCTCATCAGTTTTGTGGCCCTGGAATTCCAGTTTCTTCGGAATCATAAATGCACTGTGATTGAATTCAAGGAATCTTTGTTTATCCAGTCGCGAATCTAGAGAATTTATGCAAGCAGATAACGTGTCTAAACCGTTTTGCACCGACTTCTGGCGTCCCTCTTCGGCCGTTACGTGCATTAAGAGGGCCCTCGAAATGCAGTTGTGAAAACCGAAGTCCATACACTAGGAAAATAATGGATTAAAGCAAAATGTGATATTGAAAAGTGGCAAACACTTACGTCAATGAGATCAGATAAATCGTCTACGAAATATTTGTGTATAGTGGTGTTTGAGGCTTCCAGGCATAAAATGTACTCATTCCTTGCTTTCAAGGCTTTCAGCTTGGCATCGGTGTATTTATCTCGTCTCTAAAAATGCATTATTTCAAATGTTTTCCTTTGATTCTGCTGGTTCTATTACTTTGGCAACTTCTTTCTCCATGAGTTTATACTTCTTTGAGCGTTCCAGCTTGTCTTGAGTCAACGATGACTCAAGTTTGGCTCTTTGCACTTCAGCTGTGCGGAGTTTGGCTTCAGTTTGTCTCAGTTCTGCTTGATAACTGTGATATGTTTTCATTTTTGTGTGAAGTTCGTGCAGTACCCTCAATATCTCCTCATGAGTTTCGTATCCTATTTCACGACACTGAAATATGAAGAGATATGAATATCCGTGGCACATTGTCCTTGTATGGTTATATACCCTTTTGTATATTCGTTGAACATCTTCCATAACTTGTGCTAGTCTAGAAACTAAATGCGTAGAGTAGACTTCTGATAAAGCTACATGGTCCCGGCTCAGATTCTTAGTTTGAGTTACTAACTGTTGCCAACAAGCGTAACTGGAAAATAAAGGCCACTGTTCCCTTCTAAAAAATATACAGAGTTTGAATCTCGACCAATATCAGGTAAATAGTAAAGTGTATACTTTTGTTTCTGCTCCTTATGTCTAAGTTGTAAACTTTTGGCTAATTTATCCAAATTCTTGGAGTAGTCTAATTCTAGTTCGCCTCTTCGACGGAAAAAGTCTTGCAGCTCTGTTAACAGAGCCACTTGGGCTTCCATACGCACATCTAAGCATCTTAACTGTTCGTTTAACTGCAGTCTGATATCTGAAGCAAAAAGCAGTTTGTAACTAACTGAATATTTGTTAATTTGTTATAACATAACTGGGAATTTCACTAACAAGGCAAACAGTTATAAAACAAGAAACATGTTTTGCGTAATCGCATTATTACGAGTCAATGAACGTAACAGCCACTGAAATTAAGCAAAGGTGATGGTTTCAATTATGCGACAGAATCTTTTTAAAATTAATGCCAATTTGTTTAAACATTCATTCAAGTAAATCAGCAATGCCGCCTGCTGGGACACATTGTCTTATTAGCGCTAATACGGTAATAATGTGCCAATTGTATTTTATAAAATCGTTTAAGCCGTCCAGACATCTGTAAAAAATTGAAGGTGACTTTGGGTCTGAGTTGAATTTTTTAATCCAACACATAATCAACTATTTCAGTCATTAACCAATACTTTTAATTATTCGGAAAATAAGCAACTTCATTTAAAGCTATCGCGACCATCATTTGAAAAACGGCGGTTTATCGCGCTATTAAATGCTGGAAACGTGCTAACGTTTCGATAGCACGCATGGCTAACATCTTCTCGTTAACAAGTGCTCGCTTCAACTGTTTAGCGTTAAGATGACCCTTAGCCATCAGCTCCTCGTCGTTTCTTAAAATATCCACTGAATTTTGAAATTGTCTCCGCAAATCGGGCGTTGAGTAGATTAATTTTCTTCGCTTTTCTAATCTTAACTTTGACGCCCTTTTCGAAATTCGAAAACCGTCCACTTTTCGGCTAGACAAATTAAGTTAAATCGTCATGTTTTTCACTAGAGGAATCTGTTGTAGGATTTTTTACAGACAACCTGCGTAAGTTTTATGCAAATGTGATAATAGTGTTATCTGTAAATTCGAATAGAATATTTGTTGGAAAATGAGGATAAATATTAGTCTCTCTAATTAACGACCCCATGTAATTTTCTTCAAACGCAAAGATAAAAATACGAGACTAGCAGCTGATTTTACCAGTTGGTCTAAAAATATATATCCCCTAAAATTGGTGACTTCGTCTATTCACACCCTATGCCGTTCGTTCGTTTCGCTTTGGGGTCAAGATTTTTCAATACCGTTCAATTGAGTCAGTTTTCTAATTTTCGATGAGTGACGCTGGCCAATCATTAGCCTAATAATCGCACCTAAAAATATTGAGAATCATTTGGTGGAAAAGACCTTGCACCGATTCGTGTGTTGGAAAAATCAACACGCCTATTCACGGACAAATCACTCTACTTAAATGGCCATTAAACGGTCAAATATCACGCAAATTGAAGCTTTTTTGAAGCAAAATTTCCCTCAGTACTTTCAGCGCGCCTATGCAATGTTTACCTGTTGTGGATTTTCCTGTTTTTCATCATTATCACAACTAGCGTGAACTTTAAACACCTAATGCCATGGTTTACGCTAGACTAGTCTCTATTGAGAATATAAACCTGAATGTTTTATACAGATTTATATGAAATTTATTCGAAATCTCTAAGCTTCAAAAAGCGCACATTTTTTGTAAAAAACCAACTGTTTGTGGTAGACCTCAGTAATTCAACTATGTCAGATGCACGTTCAGATTATGTTAATCATTCTTCCGCTTGTGGTTTACAATGTTTTAAAGCCTTCAGGGAGCCACTGGTTTACCCAATAGTAGTCACTAAATGCATTTAATCTTCAAAACCAAATGAATTAATTATGTTTTATCTGTTGACCTCAAAATGCAGCCATTCAAACAAGTTGTTTTGTTGTTGAAAGATTTACTATAATAATTAAATGCTGCTTAGTTTAAACTTGAATGTAAAAAATTTACATTAATTCTCTTTGACAATTTCATTAGTATCAAAAATGATTGTCACCATTAAATTAATGATCACGCCTCTGTCCACCTTTAACGGCGCCAAACATTTAAAATTCAGATACGAACTAGTTTGCATACATGTATTATGAAATAGTACTATGACAAAATTATAGTAGTTTTCGTAATGTCGCAGACTTAACGATAGAGTATATGGCGTTGAGCGATCAGATTGATATTTCATATATTTAATTCAACGTTTAGAAAATTTCAAATTTTTATCTAATCCATTTGATAGGCTCTTTGAAAATTCACACGCATGGAACTAGCTTCTACTAAGATGGAACAATTTGTGTATAAATAAAGCATGTCTCGATTAAATAAAAGCCAACATTGGCTGTCCCTAGGGACTGCAGCGGCTTATAAGGCGCTAAATAAAATAAAGTTTCAGCTCTTTACTGTATTTGATTTCTAACGAGTTAAACACTAACTGTAACTAAAAGCGAAAGTGATAAAATGTAATACAAATAGTCACACTGCGTGGGAAAGGCATTCGGCGAGTAAAGAGATAAAAACAACAGAGAATATTTTATGCAAATAATCAGCAGGTGAATTTAAATGTATTATTTAATATTTCCAATTTCCTTTTTGGTCCACGCAGGAAAAGTGTAGGAGCATGTAGAACGAAAATGCATGTTTTAGACATTGAAACGGGTATCACCACTGTGTATCGACCAGATGTTGATCATCTTTAATAAACAAGGCCAAATGGAAAATTAATATTAAACGAAAGAGAAAACTTTTTATGTACGACTAATACTGAAAAACAAGGGTTCTGTCGAAGAAATGTGAAGTGTGTCGGAAATCAAGCACGAACTAGATCCATTAATTCAAGGCACTTTCCTCGCCTCTTTTGGAAATGACGTTGTCGTCGGTTTGATATTTTTAGAAAGGCCGTATCTAGGGCCCCTACACTAATTAAATTTCAGTTGATGGAAATGAATTTTTCGGAAATAACCGAGCTTCGGAGTCTCGAAACCATCATAACTTTCGCTCCAAAAAAATTCCAGAAATTGGAGCCCTTGTCGGAACGGGGAAGTTTAAGGACGGATTATCCCTGTACGGTAAAAAAACCTTACAATAATCCCCGGCCAAAGCCAAAAGCCCCAAGTTTATACCAGAATAAATCCGAATTTTCAGAGATCCAAGTAAATTATTCTCCAAATAATGGTGGTAATCTCCGGTTGGGTCCCTACTCTAAGCATATCCTGCAGGAAAAGTTATTTTCGGTTTTTCCGTTGAAAAAGCCTAGTCTAGACACGCGTTATTTATATAAGGGAAATCGTGCAATTATTCTTATAATTCAATGCAGAAAGTGTTTGACAACAGAAGTTAAGGTAACGTTGCCTGAAAGGTCTACGACCTTTTCTACAATGACCAGTGGAAAATCGCCTTGTCGATAATGGCAGGTTTCCGCCATCGCGATAAGTGTAATTACCATAACACAACCACTTAATCACACTAAATTTTAGCGGGTTGAATTAGGAAGACAGTTAAATTACCTTTTTTCGTAGAACCAATCCATTTGTTATTCGGACTATAACCCAATAAAATACATAATGAAATTCGGGTCTGTCTTGCCAAAGGGCCTCATAAAAATGATTCATTATCAAATCTGATTAAACTAGACACAAGCAATTTTAGCAGACTATATCAAGCGAGGTTACGTGATTAGGCAGTGTCTGTTGAAAGTAATCAAATTTTCTTGATGAGATCTTGTATAGGTTCGCTACCTCAATAAATGTAGCTCTAATTTAGTCTAACGCACTCGGAAAGAAGCATGGGATTGAAGTTTGTCCGAAAAACTAAACTATTAACAATTTTCCCTAAATACTGTATCAGTAGATTTATTAATATAAATTAATTTATTTTGTTAATATGGGCCTTAAAATTCTACAAACAAAACTAAACGATGTTTTCGCAAAACGTGCATGATTTCAGAAGTTAAAAATATTTTCGGTTTAGGGAGAATTTTTCTACTTACAAAAATATTCTTAGCGATATGACGCAAAATTTAACAATGCAACATTTAGTAATTTTGTGTTTGAAATAATAATAAATCTAGTTAAGAAAACTTCGCTCATTTATTTCATTTCACATTTCATCACATTAAATTTATTTTTTTGTATATTGAATATTTTTACCCTACTGAAAGAATTTTGCACATTTTTAATGCTTTTTGCGATAAATCAATTTGCTTTTTAAGCGTTTTTTTGTCAATTTTAGTGCTTTTTAATCCGGACTCTATTTATCAATGACGCTGTAAAAGAGCTCATTCTTGATATCGCTTCGACCTGCAAGGGTTATCGTAGAAATGAATATTTTAAGTGTCATTTAAGGCTAAGGCTCATTTAAGGTCATTAATAGGCTAACCGTCGGTTTAAGCAGCAGGCCAAAATACGAAAATTACAAGTTTTAGTTAAATTTCTTTGCAAGACCTGAAAACACCATCTTCGCTTGTGATGGGGAAGCTTCAAAAATCCCTATCTGACGGCTTTAGAGATTTTATTTGTTATAGAAAGTGGTACGACACTTAATCAGATAGTCAACGAAATTCTTCTGGTTAGGTTTGATCTTTTGTCACTTCTTTGGGTGTTCCGCCCCAGAAATTCCATCACGATTCAAGAGATTCATAACTTATCAGGATGAATCTCAGGTGAAAAACAATGCCAAGAATGCACTTTACTTAAAAAAATGCACTCTAGTTAAAATTTGTCGTTATTCGAATCGACCTGAAATAGGATACATTTTAATTATTATTATGAGGTTTGCGTTCAAATGCCACATGAGCACTAACAGGGCTTTTACACAATTTTTAAAACGGTAAAGTATATTCTTTGAGTCAGCAGTTTCATCCTATAACTTGAATGTTTGCGTTGGTAATTCGATGTTAAATTGGCTTTCATTGGTATTTTGCCCATACCAAAACAGGATTGTTTTTAAATAGACTTAATATCCTGCTTTAATACTGTGTTTACGATTAAAAGACAATTTATTCAAAGTACGTTTAAGACTTCCGTCAAATTAAAAATTCATTCCTCCGAAGTCTATTGATAAGTAGTTCCTACTTAATCCATACAGTATCTTATAAATAATTCAGCAAAGAATACAATGAAAGTCCTGTAAAAACACCTTCCACTTTGCGGCA